ATTATTCATAAGTGACAAAAAACATTTACTATTTTCTCTTTATATGTACAGTTGAAGTCAAAATTATTAGCAGTTTCTGAATTATTATACCTCCTATATTTATTTTTCCCCCATTCTGCTCAACTGAAAGATTTTTTCCAACCCATTTCTAAACATAATAGTTTTAATAACTGACTTATTTTATCTTTGCCATGATGACAGTACATAATATTTTACTACATCTTTTTCAAGATACTAGTATTCATCTTAAAGTGCAATGTAAAGGCTTGAAGGTTAAGGTAATTAGGCACGCCATTGTATAACGATGGTTTGTTCTTTAGACAATTAAAAATAAATATTGCCTAATATTGCTAATAAGATTGACCTTAAAATGTTTTTTTTTTTTTTTATTAAGAAATGCTTTTATTCTAGCCGATAGAAAACAAATAAGAATTTCTCCAGAAGAAAAAATATTATCAGACATACTGTTAAAATTTTTTTGCTCCATCAAATATCAATGTAGAAATATTTCACAAGAGGGTTAAAAATCCATGGATCAATTAGTACTAGGGATGTAACGGTATCAGAATTTCACAGTACGGTAATACCTCGGTATGAATGTCACGGTACGGTATTTATTGAATCATTTACAGGAAAAAAAAAACTTTTGAAAATACTCCAAAAAAGTGCCAAAAGTGTCAATGACATACAAATTAGTCATCTATCTGTTAGCTTTGAAACAGGAACTTCAATTTTAATAACAAAAAATTATTAAACCATGTAAAAAAAATAAAGTTTCAATTTAGTATTGTTGAAAACTCATCACATTCAACATTTAATCACTCACTTAGATAGAGATGGGTTTAAAGGAAAATTATCATATAATTACAATCTGGTAAAAGCTGGTATCTCTGGGCATTTACAATGTCCCCTGCAACAGAAAAAACCCCTCTCATTTGGGACTGAGGTTTCTGGGACAAGAGAGATATGACTTGGTCCATGTTGACAGCAGTGGGGTAACGTTGTGCATTGTCTTTCCCCCACTTGAGAAGACAAACCATGAGTGAGATAGAGATCTCTTTGCGGTACAAGTCAATGTCTGCATCAATATGAACAGTGTGCTGTGTTTCTGCAGTCCCCATGACTGTTATTAGTCGTATTCCCCAACTTGCAGGCACGTGCACACATAGGGCTCAACCTGTGCAGTGCACATGCCCTTTTTAGTCTTGGATAGAAAATGCCCTTCCAAAACGATCAAAAGTGCCCCCGCGACGCGACACAACCTCCGTCCAGTCCAGCCCTTCAGTAGGCGCGCGATAACACCTCTCTTGAGTATGCGCGCTCAACCCCCCCTCGGCGCTTTTTCAATACGCGCGCCACAACACAGCTGATCAGAACGCGCGCGACAGCACCGCTATTCAGCACGCGCGCGGCGACAACACCCGCTTTAGGTTCGATCATTTCCATCTTTTTTTCATCTCCGCTACTAGCAGCACACTCCATTTCCGCATTACTGGATCTGTAGCGACAACAGACCGCAAAGGATTATGGCCACGCCGGGGCTGATGGGAAATGAAGTTTCAGCTACCTCCTGTTTGCTTCATTCGCCTGAGCAAATTTTCTCAGAAGACCTATAGTTTTACCGAGTCATGCGACTTCGGTAATATCGAAAAAATTTAATATTGCGGTATGACGGTATTTACAATACCGTTACATCCCTAATTAGTACCAGTGCTGGTTGTACCAGTCCATGGACCAATTGGTACCGGCCCACACAAGGAGTCATTCTGTTTTATTTATTATATGAGTCTGAATGATCCTTTATTTTGAAAAATGACCACATTTTCTCGCTTACATCTCGGTCACTTGAGTGGCCAAATTTAACCCACAAGCAGAAAAATAAGTAAGAAACAGAAGTCTTTGGAAATTTTTTTGCTTAAAGGGGAAAAGGCCCATTGAAGGACCCGCGAATTGCAGAGGAATAGATTCGCATACCATTTGTCAACAAACCAGGTGAATTCACCATGTCTGTAGAGATCGCAAATGACGGCGACTTTAAGGGCTGTTTACATTTCACGTCTGTTTTAAGAGTTTGCACAAGTTTATTATTTTCAATCGAGGTGCGCACACAAGTGGCATGACACGCTCGCATCTTCCAGACGCACACAGTTGAATTAATGTTGCGAGCCTTGTGACAACAACTGATCGATCAGCTTTATACTTTTTATGGAATATTTACATTTTGGTCGACGAATTATCTCCGACAAACACTGAAGACCCAAACACTGCAGTGCTTTGTAACTTTCTCCATAAATAATACTTTTATCAGAGTGACAGCAATGTTTTGTCAGCTTGTCATCCTCTGAGAAAACAAATGATGATCGCCTGGCAACCTCAGAACCACCGCTGCAACCCCCCTGGTCCATGGTAAAATTATCAAGCGTTGACTGGTCCGCAGTAATAAAGAGGTTGATGGCCACTGGCTTACACCACAAAACTGTTAAGCAGTGAAGACTGAAGACTGGAAAATTGTATATTTAATAAAATAACATGTAACTTGTTTTTAAGATGATAATTATTTGTCATTTGATTTGGTTTTGCAGTCGGACCCAGACCAGTGTCCCGAGCATAATAGCCCATCCCCGACGGATGATGTTTTTCACTGTCCGATTTCTCCTCCTCCTGGTCACCCTCCTCCACCACCCCCTTACCTGCCTCCTCAGCCCTCTATAGAGGAGGCCCGGCAGCAGATGCACTCTCTCCTGGACGATGCCTTCGCCCTTGTGTCTCCCTCATCTCAGGGTAGCACCGCTGGCATCACTCTGCCCGGGGTCGGTATCAACCCTGCGCCACCACCTCCATTGAGCCCACCATCACGGGGACCACGGCCCTGGGGCCCAGGATACCCGCCCTTGAATCCCTACACAGGGGTAAGATTAACTGTAGCGGATTGCTGATTTACTGGCTGATTAGCATTTGGTATTGTTTTATTTATATTAATATTTAAGTTTTTTTTTTATTTGGTGTGTGTGGGTGTGTACTGTATGTACAGTGCCCAGCATAAAAGAGTACACCCCTCACATATCGCTCTTTCAAATTAATATTTTATATAGAATGTTTAATATTTTTTTATAATAACAAATATTTACATATCATTTACAATAATATATATATTTGTATATACATTAATCAGTACCAAAGCCAAAACTGGAACTAATTTAAAAAAAAAAGCTTAAGATGAAAGCCCAAAAATGTGTACACACAAACTAAAATGTTGGGGAAAAATATTAAATAATAATAACAATAATAAATAGGAAAAATAAAGAGAAACATAAAGAAATATGCAATATAGTTTGGTTAGTTTAAATATTTATGTATTATTATTATTATTTTTATTTTATTTTTTTTTACAATAACTCGTTTGAATTAATTTTTTTTTTCTTTCTAATCCTTAAGATGTTAGGTGACTAAACTTTTATTTTAATGGATTTAACTAAAACTGTTTTATTTAAATGCATCAAAATATACTGGCTGTAAACACAAAAAAATGGATTAAAGATTTTGTTTTTTAAAAGTAGCTGCACTTATTTATGTTAAGCACTGTATATATAACAAATATATTGGCTAATACTGGAAAGATAGATAGATAGATAGATAGATAGATAGATAGATAGATAGATAGATAGATAGATAGATAGATAGATAGATAGATAGATAGATAGAGAGATAGAGAGATAGATAGAGAGATAGAGTGACATATAGATAAAATATATATAAACTGGTTAAAGAATAAAAATGATGCCAGTGGAGCTTTCAGTTTTAGTTGGTTTCATCTCGACTTACTTCAAAGTAGAAAAGAAATAGAAAAAGATTTATAATACAAAGTAGGTGGAGCTACAGAGCCACACCCACCTATTACATCATCGCCATGAATTAATAGTTGAAAGTGTTTACCTTTTCGAGAAAGTTTTGCTTGGGCAAACTGTTTTACAACTACTAAAATAACCCCCAACAACCCTTGTTTTTGGCTTGATTTTATCCAAATGAATATCCAAATTTTTCTTCGAATTTACTTGAAGAATTTTGGGCTTTTATCTTCCCTCATCACTTAGAAATTCATTAACAGATTGTGTGCACTTTTTTATTTTAAACGTTCTGTTTGTGTATGAAAAAAAAAACAGTAAATCTGATCTTAAATCATCCTGCTATGAAGTCATGAATGCCTCAAACTGTGTGGTTTATTTAGAAGAGAGATACTATTACTTTTCTGAGCGATTGGACATGATTTTCACAAGAAAATCATATGTTCCGGTTTTTTGAGAACACATCCTGTCTTAGAAACCACTAGATGATGCGTATTCATGTGATTAAAAAGCACATGATGAATTATTGTTTTCATTTCTACAGTCCAATACTTGTATGATTTCCCCTTGTCTAAAGCTGTGGTTGCGCTAGACTTCACGCTCCATTCACTGCCATTTAGACCAGAGACACAAGCATATGAGAAGCAGTTTAGTATCCACAGTTTGTTGAATGCTGATTTCTAAATGTAAAATACTACTAATGAATAAATATTTTTTTTATAATATTTTAATAATTTTTGTCAAAATATTTGTGTTCCTTAAAGATCGAACAACAGCAACAATCTAAAAAAAAATTGTCTGCACAAATACATATCCTAATTGCTAGTATTTTTAAACATGTGTACTTGATGATGGTTTAATGGAGTCCGTTATTGACTGATTTCATTATAAATGTGTATATTACAGCGATATAAGCAAATCACATCAAAGAAACCCATACTCTGTTTTCCACAGATGGAAAATAAACTACTCAAAATTGAAGCCTTGTCTGTCCACACAGACCTTAATGAAACACTTACAGTAGGACAGCCAAATATGTAGATACAGCAACAACTCCAGTCAAGAATCATCAACCTGTTTTAAGCTCAACAACTGCACATGTTTTGTGTATTTCTTGCAGAGATATGCTGAATTAGGTCTGCCTCCTTCCAGTGTGCAAGGTTTACTACATAGGTGAGTATTTTTTTATTTAAATTTTTTTGTGGCATATTGCTCTACTCTTAAACCTAACCCCTAAACATAAACCTAAGTAATGACAACGACACACATTCAGTATTAATCCACAGAGTGGCAAAAGTTGATTTATTTAGAAAATTTACCGCGCTGCGTGTGTGTAAGTAAGGCTGATGGTGGCCATAGCAAAGGATTGCCAGTTCGGAAACGCACTTAAAATCACGTTTTTAACATGGTTTTGGACGCGATATGTGAACAGCCCCATACAGATTTATCCTAAGAGATAGAGTACAAGCACTGATTTATAATAAATACGGTATAACAAGCAGCGCGGGGGGATTACAACCAGGGTCGTCGCGTTCATAGAGGCAACCTAGACCCGCCCCCTCAGTCCTCACCTTTAATCCGTGAACCTGTCACTTAATTTTTCACTTTTGGGTTGAGGGCAGCGTGTTCGTCGTTCGCCTAGAGTGCCAGTTCAGCTTGCTCCAGCCCTGATTACAACTTATAACACACAATTAAACACATATTTTGCAAACTACACAAAACGAAGGAACAATTTTAACAACACTTACATGTTATGATATGGAGGAAGAAGAAACTGGCCCATTTGAACTGTAAAAGTTACTGACAAAGTCCCTGTCAAAGTCTGCAAACGACTGAAGAATCCCGCATTGCAGAGTAGGTTATTGAATCAAAAATCTGAAAAATGACAGGAACAAACACAGCACTAGGTTGCCTATACTGTGGTGTTGTTGTGAAAATGAACTTTAACCCTTTATTCCCTGCAACCAAATCTTCATCTGACAGTGATCGTCATCTTCGCGTCATGATCAGTCCTATGATCCCTGCGCGCTCCGCTAGTGTGTGGAGGGAAAGCGCATGCACATTTTAATGAAACTGGAAGTATATATTTGGTGATGTACCGTATCGATGTCAATGCGATCAAACAAAACATCCGAACACAGCTCGATTCGTTTATTCGACTCTAAATCAAATATTTAGCTAAAAAAAAATTGTTTTTTGCTCCAATTTTAGATTTAAACCTCTGCTGGATGTTTTTATCCACTTAGAGCCGTGTTACACACCGCATGGATGCTCATTTTCAAAAACCCATAATAGGGGCTCTTTAGTACATCAGCCTTATCAATATATTCGACAAGCACTAGTGTAAATTTCGTCCTCTAAAGATATTTTAGGGGATGTTTTGGAAAGTAACAGTGCTTCCGATCACTTTGCATGAGTGTATCCATTATTGTTGTTGTTCCTTTTTAACACATTTTTCAATCATTTTAATTTTTCTTACTTTTTATACTTATTGTGTTTCGTTTCTTTTATTATTCTTTATGTAAATCACTTTATATTACCATTGTGTCTAGAATGTGGTGTATAAATAAACTTGCCTTGATTGTAGTGAGATTGGTGAAGTCTTGTTTTTGTTGGAGTGCAGTGTGGGTATCTGATGTTTTTGTGTCTCTACAGACAGGGATTGGGGTCCAGCTATATGCCATCAGGAGAATCTCTGCCTGCTGAACATCTACAGCCAGAGTCACTTTACCCTGGTCGAGGGACACACACTGATGAGCTGCCCTCCTCTGCCAGACCACGACCAGTAGGGGGCACTACAGGTACGAGAAAAACTCTGGATTGTGATTGGGGTTATTATAAGATTATTGAACTTTCATGACTTAACAAAGGGTTTTTAAGTTTTAATCAATGATGAGGAAGTTAACATTAGGCATGGGACGAAAACCGGTTTCAAGAAATACCACGGTTTGGAAAAGTCAAGTTTTGTTTGTTTTATTTTTTAGGATAACAGTATCTCCAGCAGAAAAGATATCCAAAGATGCCTTTTTCAAGTTGTAAAAAAACTGTGTTTTTGAAACTAATAAAGAGAGCAGAAGTCAATGATTTATTTAAATTATTCAACCTGACATGTTTACTGTCTCAAAATAGAATTGTTCAAAATGTATTGTGTTGAAAGGGGAAAAAGTTTTTTGTTTTTTTTTTCCCAGACATTTATAAAGAACTTAATTTAGAGCAGTAATCACGATACCGTGAAACCGTGACATTATTATCCAAGGGTATCATACCATCAGAATGTTATACTGGCCCATGCCTAGTTACCGTTTATGGTTATTTTCCTCCTGAAGGGTTAGAGTGGTAGTGATGGATGCATGGATATGTGAAACATGCATGTGTGTTCACAGGTGCACAGCTGCATCATCTAAGTCACGTTGGTCTGACAGGTCGTATAAATGACAGCCGACAGCTCGGTGGGTCAAACTGGAGCCCGTATCCTGAGGACGACAACAAACTCGCTAACAACAGGGAGCCTGTAAGTTTAAAATACTCTTCAAAATACATTTTAAATGAGCACACTCACAAATATACATATATAAAATATTCTTTGCACATTATTTTTAGACTTTATTATTCTCATGCTAAGCTCTGACATGTTATACAGAATATTTATTAAATTGAATTTGCTATATAGTAGTCAACATTTGAAGTGGATCAATCCTTTCATCAAAGTTGTCCTAAAACTATTGAAAAACATTCTTGTCTTAGGACCATTTTGAGAAACTATAATAATCCACTTCAACTGCTTACTACTGTATGTATGTATGTATGTATGTATGTATGTATGTATCTATGTATGTATGTATGTATGTATGTATGTATGTATGCATGTATGTATGTATGTATGTATGTATGTATGTATGTATGTATGTATGTATGTATGTATGTATGTATGTATGTATGTATGTATGTATGTATGTATGCATGCATGTATGTATGCATGTATGTATGTATGTATGCATGTATGTATGTATGTATGTATGTATGTATGTATGTATCTATGTATGTATGTATGTATGTATGTATGTATGTATGCATGTATGTATGTATGCATGTATGTATGTATGTATGCATGTATGCATGTATGTATGCATGTATGCATGTATGTATGCATGTATGTATGTATGTATGCATGTATGTATGTATGTATGTATGCATGTATGTATGTATGTATGTATGTATGTATGTATGTATGTATGCATGCATGCATGTACAGTTTAAGTCAGAATTATTAGCCCCGCTGAATTAATAGCCCCCCTGTTTATTTTTCCTCCCAATTTCTGTTTAACGGAAAGATTGTGTTCATCTTTAATTATTTAAATTAATTTTTTTACTCTATTTGAGATCATTTTTTGTTTGTGTGTCTTTCTGATTCTGAAATCTTGATGAACATTATAAGCAGCAGTTGGGAGGCTACAAATATTCCTCTTCTATAGCTCTTCCCACTTATTTCTTCCTCAATAAGAGGCTCTGTCAAACTCTCCAAACCTTATCAAATCTTTTTTGCCTCATTTCTTCCCTCCTTCCTTCTTTCTCTCCCATATTTCTTTGTTCAGGATTTTGGCTCTCTTGACTACACCTCCATCTCTGTATTCCAGACTTCCAGAAATGGCCTGAAGGAGCCATCTGCTGCTCCGGCCCACCTGGACTCTCTGGGCCTGGGCTACCCTCCCTCCGCTCCCCTCGAGGAGCCTTCACCTCCAAACCACTCGTCCGCCTCGCTCATCAAAGCCATCCGAGAGGAACTGATGCGCCTCTCCCAGAAACAGGCCTCAGTTCCCAGTTATCACAGCTGAGACTGGCCCAAACTGCACTACACTGCACTGTACTTCCCATGGAAGTGGCGTTTTCGAGAGGTCAAAGACTGTCATGTAGCGTCTGCTGCCCCCTGGTGGCAGAAAACATTAGGACAGGAAGAGTAGACATTTCTCCTTAATTTCCATCTTCCTCTCCGGTTCCCCAAGTTGTGTGCCGAGACTGAAGTTTAATGTTTTTTACCTTCTTTAAAGATTGGAAGCAGACCAGGATGTTGAAGCCAAAATCTGGCCACGACACATTTGTTTATGTCAAGTTCAGACTACACATTACCAGATTTTTGGCTTGATTTGTTTAGTGTAGAGCAGGGGTGTGCAAACTAGGTCCTGGAGGGCCGGTGTCCTGCACGGTTTAGTTCCAACCCCAATCAGACACACCTGAACCAGCTGATCAAGCTCTTTCTTGGTGTACTAGAAACTTTGAGGCAGGTGCATTGAAGGAAGTTGGAGCTAAACTATGCAGGACAGCGGCCCTCCAGAACAGATGTTGGACACCCCTGGGGTTGACGATTTGTAAATGATAATGGACACAAAAATCTATTTTATTTATTTGTTTTTCATAAAAAGACACTGGTGTGTTTTGATTTTAACATAGCATTTTAAAATGAAAGCGATCATTGACCTATAGTTGAGTTCCCATAGTTTTCCATGTTAGAAGCTAAAAGTATCTATAAAAATAAAGTACGAAACTGCAGCATATATACAAATACTAAATAAAACAAAGGTTCTTATGGGATTACTATTAAATCATGCTGAGAGGGAAAAGTCTTTTAAATATTATATGTATTAAAAACTGAAAAATATAAAGTAACTAATATAGAAAATTTGTAATAATATTCATTATAAACATAATAAGTCTAGTATGCATGTTAGGCATAATCGTTCTGCTGAATGAATTTAAAGCTATACAAATGTATCCTATTTGTAACAATTGGAATGGTTTTCACAATATTTGGCAACCAAATGTGCAATTTCAAATCATTTTATGGAAAAAAAAGACCTTGTACTTAACTCGCGTTCCAGTATTCGCATAAAATGTCATAATTTGGTAGCACAGACTGTACAATCAATCATTTCAAATATATTAAATATAACTTATTTTTAAACAAGCTATACGTTCATTCATTCAGTCATTTTCTTTTCGGCTTAGTCCCTTTATTAATTTGGGGTCGCCACAGCGGAATGAACCGCCAATTTATACAGCACGTTTTACACAGCGGATGCCCTTCTAGCCACAACTCATCTCTGGGAAACAATCACACACACTCCTACACACTCATACACTACGGACAATTTAGCTCACCCAATTCGCCTGTACAGCATGTCACTGGACTGTGGGGGAAACCGGAGCACCCGGAGGAAACCCACATGAACGCAGGGAGAACATGCAAACTCCATGCAGAAATGCCAACTGACCCAGCCGAGGCTCAAACCAGTGACCTTTTTGCTGTGTGGCGACAGCACTACCTACTGCGCCACTGCGTTGCCCCAAGCTATAAGTTTCAAGACATCATTTGAAATGGTAAAGGTTTCTTCTATGCATGCATATTCACAGTAAAAACAAAACATTATGACATTTTATTATTAAGAGAACATATTAGATGCACTTTCTGCCATCTTTTCAAAACATCTAACAAAAACAAACCAAAACTCTGTGTAATGATCATATGATCAGAGCTCAACGAATCAAGATAGGAGTAATCCAGAAGAGCCAATCAGGGAGTGAATTTGTGGAGCCACGCCTTTTTTATAATTAATTTTTCGGGGTTTTCACCTTAATTGGATAGGACAGTAGAAAGTATTGACTGGAAAGTTTGGGGAGCAGAGAGAGGGGAAGAATTGCCATAGGACCTAGAGGCGGGAATTGAACTCGCGGTCGCTGTAAACACCGAAGTGCATATGTCAATGCACTTTCCACTACACCTCTGGCACCAATAAAGCCACGTCTTTTTAGGTCATCTACTTCGAAACCTAACTAAGTCTTCTAATTAAAACAAATCTGAAGCATTTTCAAAAGTCTCAGTTTTTGAGTGTCTAAAACAGGGTTGCCCAAACTTGGTCCTGGAGTGCTTATTTTAGTTTCAACCCCAATAAACCACACCTGAACCAGCTAATCAAGCTCTTTCTAGGTATATTAGTAACTTCCAGGTAAGTGTGTTGTAGGAAGTTGGAGCTAAACTATGCAGGACACCCTGGTCTAAAACTTCTAACTAGTTTGTATTCCAGGCATAACCCTAGTAAAAGTTCAAATGAAAATACACAAGTGTAAACATACCAATAGTGTGTATCTGATCACATCCCAACAGAAAGACTAGCATTGAATTTTACTTTGTCATATTTGTGAGGTTAAACAAAAGGAGCACAAAAGCCATTTAATTAGCTTTCAAAGATGGTGCACTCAAAAAGATGGCAATGGAATTACCAGGGGTCTTTCTCACTAATAACACCATAACACCCATGCCTTGGTAGCCATTGTTTGTCGTGTGACCATGTTTCTTGTCCGTGAGTCAAAAATCATTCAGAAACCAAACAATGTGTAGTCTGAGCCTGGCATTAGTCTTGTTTTAAAGGTTTGCGTGTGTGTTTTTCATATTGTGTTGTTTATTTGCTGTGTCACTGCCTTCACCGTTGAATCGTTGGTCACACTTTACAATACGGTTCTATTAGTTTATGTATTCACTAACATAAACTGAGAATGAATCAATACTTGTACAGCATTTATTAATCATAGATCACTTACTTTGTTACTAACGCATAAAAAAAATAGCAAATTGTGCTTGTTAAGTAGTGGTTAAAGTACATCCAGATGGTTGTTATATCAGAATAAAGTTGCTAAAAGGCTTATCGGCAGTTGTGTGACTACTGTAAGTCTGTTCTATAAGACTGAAGGGCTTTTTTTCTGTGAAAACAGCCATCTGGATGTACTTTATTCTACTTTTTGCATGACTACTTGTCACAAAATTTAAAAACTAGATGCAAAACATTGCTCTGAGCTGTAAATGTTTTTTTTTTTTTCAACAAACTAATGAAAACGGCTGAATGGAGCGTACACTAATCTATATATTATTCAGTCACTAGATGGCGCCAAATAATCAAAACAGCAGCGTAACAAACATGCTTATAAATATGAACACATTCACTGATGGTCAGGATGATTAGAAGTACCCATATGCATCTGTGTTATTAGTTTCAGCAGTTGGTTTCTCTAAATAAAACACCTTGAAATGTCATGACTGACCAATCAGAATCAAGTATTCCAGACAGTCGTGTTATAACAGGAGCTAATGCACTGTAAGGTAACAGTAAATGATTTTTCCCCATTACCTAATGTTAACAAAGATGAATAAATGCTGTTCTGAATCATTCACTATTGGTTTGTGTCAGCAAATATATTCAAATGAACTAATTGAGCCTTATTGTAAAGTGGTACCGAATCACTTTATACCTTGCACTGGTTCTTGTATAGATTCTGAGAAGTTGAACTGCTTTTGATACCTTGAATTGATCTACAGATTGACCTGCTTCTTTTTTTTTTTTTTTTTTTTTTTTTTGTTATACTGTACATTTTTCTTTTTTGCCTGTGGTCTTGCGATGCTGATCCTTTCATTTTCATTAACGGCCATTAAGCACACATTGCCTTCATGATACAAGTATTGAACCCTACTTGTGGGTCCAGTAATAGCATTTGAAGTAGTGATGTTTTTCATCTTCATTTGCCTTTATTGTGTTTGGCGTCTGCAGGAGTGCTGGATATACAGCTTCAGTTTTATCCAGTTTGTTATATATAAAGGAAACTGGGCTGACATGAATGAGGCAGGATTACTATGATTTGACAGGTTGTAAAGGCATGCTAAGTCATTTTCAGTAATGTACTTACAATAGTGCTTCTCAAACAGTTATTAAGTGAGTGATGGGCTTATTTTAAAAATACATTAATAATAACAGTAAATTAAGAATTGCTTAACCAAAAATATATTTAATAAATTTGAATCAAATTATGCCTGATTTTGTCGACAATTACTTAAAATATCAGTCTCACTTTAATGAAAAGCATTACCAAAATGTTACAGGTGTCTTGCTTTCCAAAATTATGCAATTATTTGATCAAAGTAAACAGTAAAACTGTGAATTACTACAATTTACAATAATCATTTTCTCTTAATAAATGTTTTAAAACACCGTTTATCTCTGTGAGAATGAATCTGAATTATTACATAAGTGTTTAATGTTACAAAGACATAGTGATACAATAGTACAATAGTACAATAGTACAATAGTACAATAGTGATTCTCAAACAGTTATTATGTAAGTGATCGACTGATTTTAAAATACATTAATAATATTAATAATAATAATAATAAATTAAGAATTGCTTCATAAAGTTCTAAAATATTTAATAAATTTGAATCAAATTATGCCTGATTTTGCTGACAGTCATTCAAATATCAGTCTCACTTCAGTGAAATGCATTACCAAAGAGTTACAAGTATTTTACTTTCCAAATTTATCCATTTATTTGATCAAAATTATAATAAAAATTAAATACTGCAATTTTATAGAATCATTTTCTCTTAATAAATGTTTTAAAACGCCATTTATTCCTTTGAGGATGAATCTGAATCATTACATAAGTCTTTAGTGTTACAAAAAAATTAGTGGTTCTCAAGTTATTATGTAAGTGATGGATTGATTTTAAAATACAACAACAACAATAATAATAATAATAAGAAGAAGAAGAAGAAGAATTGCTTCACATTAGTTCAAAAATTCAAAAATATTTAATCATTTTGAATCAAATTATGCCTGATTTTGTTCACATTTATTCAAATATCAGTCTCACTTCAGTGAAATACATTTCCAAAATGTTTCAGGTGTCTTTCTTTCTAAACTTGTGCATTTATTTGATCATAAAGTGAAATAATACAATTTTATAGAATCATTTTCTCTTAATAAATGTTTTGTCCCTATCAGGTTGAATCTGAATAATTACATAAGACTTCTCTGTTCTCAAACAGTAAGTGATTGACCAATTTTAAAATACATTATTAATAATAATAATAATAATAAATTAATTGTCCACAATCATTAAAATATCAGTCTCACTTTAGTGAAATGCATTACCAAAATGATAGAGGTGTCTTGCTTTCCAAAATAAAATGATGCAATTATTTGATCAAAAATATAGTAAAACAGTGAAATACTACAATTTAATAAAATCATTTTCTCTTAATAAATGTTTTAAAACAACATTTATCCCTGTGAGAATAAATCTGAATAATTACATAAGTCTTTAGTGTTACAAAAACATTAAAATGTTTATATTTTATGTTCAAGAATATTTCTGAATATCAGTGTTGATTACAGTTGTGGCGATTAGTATTTTTTAACACTTTTGTAAGTGCATTACTCTCAACACATTTTTATTTACTAAAAATTGAGGAATGCATTGTGATAGTTAACAAATTATGGTAGATGCTGAAGAGCTTATTCTTTAAACTGTTCTTTTGTATTCATTTTCAAACTGAACAATCTTGAAATTAAAAATGACACCCACAATGTGCTCACTTGAGTACTTTTAGTATTACCACTGTGTAAAGGGTATTACAGTTTGACTGATTTAAACTCAAAGAAATGATGAAGGTGTACTTCTTAGGCCATCTGTTGACTATGGACATCAAGTGCTTAACATTTCATAGCACAAAGGTTTTTTTTTTAATGTTTTTTTTTTTTTTGAATATTTGTTCCAGAATGCACTATTGCTCATTAAACTACTGTTGATCAAATGGGTGCAGTATATTCCTTTGTGACTTCATGCTTTTGATGTGTTAGAAGAGCATAAAACTGTAGTACTAGACTCCTGAAACACTGATCCCGGCTACTTGTACTTTATTTCATGCTGAAGTTTTGTTCTTGCCTTTGTGCTGAAACTATTTTTGTGTTGATGTTGCAAACAGGAGCATATCATCTGCTCTAAAGGAACAATTCTGTTACCTTGTGTCTTAATCTGCCCTCGTTTAATTGTTGGAATGAGTTTTTTTGTTTTCGATTTTGTTAAGTTTTTATGTCTGGTTGAAATTTTCTTGACCTGTAGTTAAACATCTGCTGATTCTTAATTTAAGTGACAATTAAAAAGTATTACAGTACCATGGTCCACTGTTTTTTGGTTCACT